ACAAATCCCTTCAAGCATGCACATATGGGAGAGACATTGACACTGCAACTAGTATATGCACCACACAAGGCATAATTCTCACACTGATCTGCTAAAATTACAATATAATTATTCTGATTATATTGAAGTCTGGTATTCTATTTTCCTCCACCAATCTGAGGATTTTAGTCATTCCTAACCATGATTTCTGAGTTTCTTGTTCCGTATATACAATATCAATCCAATTAGTAACGTTACCACGAGAAAAACTGCAGAGCTGATGAGAATTCCAGGTAGCTTTTTCTTGTTGAACTTGCTCTTTTCCTCAATATGATCTGAAAGATCACAATTAAAATAAAACTTTCATGCAATTCAGTAAGCAATCTCGCATTTCACAGTAACTGTGAATCTAACACTAACTTATTTTAGCCATACTCTGCTTAACTGCAGACAAAACAGCAAGGCCAACTGAGGAAATAACCACCATTTGTGGACCTAGATCTAGGTAAAGCTCAATACTTTTAACCATGCTGGTTCTAACGGCTGCCCCCATCAAAACCCCATCCAAAAGAAAAACATAAAAGTTGACAAAAACTCATTTTCCCTTAACGCATAAATATATTGTGACAATGTTATCCAGTATTGGCTAGAAAAACAAAAACAAGATCAAATAAAATTGTAAGAGCTACCAAGTTCTGAAGCTGCCATCCGTACATAGAGGTCTTGACCACCACCACCACCGGAAGTGAATTGTGTCATGTCAGTGAGGTTACCAAACCAAAGCAAACAGCCAGTTCCTCCCTCCCTGATATCTAAATTTGCATATGCCGTACATGAGCAGTTGTTCAAACATAATCCATTGCATTCCTTGAGGCTCATGCTTTTGTTATACCATGAGGAAGATGTGTCTGGCAATTTAACCCCAGTGTAATTTAGGAAGCCATCTCCAGAGCTGCAAGCCAATGGAATCTTTCTAACACACCCATCAGACCAATATCCTGAATTCCAATCTTTTGGAGATTTTGGTACAAATCCCTTCAAGCATGCACATTTGGGAGAGACGTTGACCCTGCAAGTAGTATATGCACCACACAAGGCATAATTCTGACACTTATCTGCTTGGACTGCAGAGGAAAGTTCCCACCTATGTGTTTGGTACACCCATGTGAATTGCTGTGCAGTGCCTGATGGATTCAACACATATCTCGAGAACATGGACGTGTTTAGAAGCCTGTACTCATAATAGGCCTCATCCTTGTTCAACACAATTTCATACTCCAATGCTGGGTTTGATTGTGTTTGTGGATGATATGGATATCCTGTAAAATGAAGGCCATTCCATGACCCTGGTCTAGACATTATCTTAGCTCCTTTCATAGTAACAACTTGTGGGAAACCATGACGATCCATCCGTGATGAAAACTCTCCTGGAGCAGGATCGTCTGTGCTCCTCCAAGACGAGAGGTACCTCTCTAAACCAGTAACCAAGTCCCAACCAAGCTTCATTTCTGGTAGGAATGTGTCACAAGGATAATCAAAACTCTGCCACAAGAATTTATCAGGGTTAGTTTCATTTCCATCTTTCAAAACAAGATTTCCTGAATCCATGAGTTGTGATACTGGATTCCCTGCAGTTGTTGATGAATTTGATGACCATACAATCGTGTTTGTGCTATTGAGAAGGACTAGAACTCCTTGCTCAGTGACCTTCAAAACTCCTGAAGAATCGCCAAGTGGTCTTTCTCTGTTAGCTACCCATACAACTGTCTCAGTATGAACAGAGTACCATATTCCTAAGTATCGACCTTTTGATGTACCAGGCCTAAAGAATCCCAGTTGAAAGCTTCCACCTGCTGAAACTAGAGTTTCACCGTCTCTCATAGATCGACTTGGAGTGATTGTGTCTGGTGTGGTTGTAGTTGAGACACTTAGGAAAGAGAACAAGAAGGAGCACACAAAAAGGCTTTTCATGGCTTGCATTGATATTCTGAGACTAAATATTTTTATACCCCAAAAAATTAGCACATAAATTAGGCAGAGAAGATGGAAGAGCTAAAAACTTATTATACACTGATAATAAGTATGCTTATGCCAATTTCTCTGGGTTTGAAAAGTTGGCCTCTGTGAAAGGTAGTCATTGACTATGGACCATTAGGACTAGAAGAGACGTGAATGAGAAGGACTAGAAGCCTTGGTCAACGAAGAATCAAATGGTGTTTCTCTGTTTGCTACCCATACAACTGTCTATTGGCCTTGATATCTAGCATTCAAATATATGTGCTTTTGTATCTCCATCTAGTTGCCATAAGAGACGTGAATGAGTTATTGGTTGACAAAAAAGATAAGACCAAAACAAAAATAATCGATAAAAAAAATAATTATTAAAAAACAAAAAAACTAGACTTTAGAACTCTTTCCAAAGTCACTTGTAAACTTGAAGCTTCTCCCTACAAATTATAAGATGCAAAAGCCATTAAAACAATAAAATAGCATGCTTTCAAAGCTATCCATCAATGTCTTTCACCTCACCTGAGCCTTAGGTTCACGGTAACCCCGCCTATTTACGACGTGCCTGTCACTTGTTCGACTAAATTCCCGAACCAAACCGGCATGCATAGACCGTGTTAATATTAGCCCACACACGACATGAATGCATAAAGCTTTTACTTCTATCGGTTGCAACGGCATGAGTCAGCCTCTTTGGTGTTCCTCTTGCCTCTCCTCCCTCCTATGTTTTCATCTTTTATTGTTATCATTTGTTCACTGTAACAATAGAAAAGTGACTGGCAACTGACCAGCCAATTGGGAAAAACCCAAAAGTGATAACCTGTGGAAAACCCCATAACACAACAATGCATATGAGGAACAACCATTTGGGCTGCCATTTGAATTCAACAAACATGAAATTACAAGTCTCTCACGTTTTTAACAATTCACACTTTTTCTGCTTGTTGGTTGACAGTTTTGAACACTTCTATGTATACCTTGGGGAGTAAGAACATAATTAAGTTTTTTTTTTGGGGGAAAGATATTGTATTTAACAAATATCATAAAATGTGTACAATGTCAATCGATAACCAGAATAGTTTATCCACAACCCAGAAGTAACGATCAGGAATAGAAGTAGAATCTTAAATTTTGTTAAATAATTAAGTTAAATACATGGCAAAGCATACCCCTTAAATTTTCTTCAACCCAACAACCCCAAATTCTTTCTTTGTTGTGCAGTAGAAACTGTTCCAAGCAAACTTATAATTCAATCACATCTTTCTTGCATAATATTAATAATCTCATGTCATTGTTTTCCAACTAAGGCTGTAGACAACCTGCCCTATGCAATTTTGTGAATGGTAGACAGAAGCATGAACAAGCACCAGAATGATGATCTACCGAGCCTCTATTATTGTAATGGAAGTATTTGCTGAACACCGGCGTGTACTTAAGTGTGATTCAGGGACACTTCGCTCGGTGTAAAAACCAGGCTGCTTTGGTGGAGGCAAGGTAACATCACTGCTCAACATTAGAACCACAGATGACATGCTTGGTCTATCTTCAGGTACTCTTTGCACACATAACAGCGCCACATGAAGACACCTTAACACTTCAGATATGGTGCACGAATCACGTAATATCTTATCAATCAGTTCCAATGGTTTATCTTCAATCCATAGTATCCATGCCTTAAAGAATTGAAACATATACAATATGTTAACTGGGTGGCATGTAATTGGAGCATTGCTACATCAACCCTCTATACTGTTATATGGCATGTCATTGAAAGAAGGAGGTGCTGAGAAGATTATACCGTCTAATTCGCTAGGTTCTTCGAAGTAAAATGATAGTACTTATTAATGCTTTGTACTCACATGGCCAAGAAGGTTAAGGTGGTGATCTGGGTTAGAAAATCCCCTGTTCTTTTGCCTACTCAACATCTCTAGCAGTATTACTCCGAAGCTAAAGACATCAGATTTCATCGAGAAAATTCCATCTACTGCATATTCAGGAGACATGTAACCACTGCACAATCAAAATAAGTTGAGTAAGAATTTCAACAAAAACAACACAATGTAAAATGTAAACCATAGAAAATATACTTACTACGTTCCAACCACTCTTTTTGTATTACCCCGACTTTGATCACTACCAAATGTTTTAGCGAGGCCGAAGTCTGAAATCTTTGGGTTCATATTATTATCAAGCAGGATATTGCTAGCTTTCAAATCTCTATGGATAATTCTCAATCTAGAGTCTTGGTGAAGATAAAGAAGCCCTCTAGCAATTCCACCAATGATGTGGAAGCATGTAGCCCAGTCGAGCAACTTTTGTCCCTCATGATCTGAAGAAATTTTGATCCTATTAAGTCAATGCACCATTGAATCCTTGCAGAATAACATTAAAGATGGTGGGAGGACCATACCAAAAATAAAGAAGTCCAAGCTTCTGTTGGTCATGAATTCATATATCAAAATTTTTTCATCTTCTTGAATGCAACAACCCAAAAGCTTTACAAGATTGCGATGTTGAAGTCCAGCTATCAGCATAGCTTCATTTTTGAACTCCCTCAGTCCTTGTCCGGAATCCTTTGAAAGCCTTTTCACTGCACTTTCTTTCCCTCCTATCAATGTACCCTATGGATCATCATTTAGAAAAGTCTTAAAACTTGTATCACAGAATAGCTCACTTTAGTTGCATAAATTTATGTTACCTTGTACACAGGTCCAAAGCCACCTTCTCCCACCTTGTTACTGCTTGAAAACTCATTAGTGGCAATAGCTACGGTGGTCAAGTTTAATAGTGGTAATCCCATGTCTTCTCCAAGGCAATCTTTTCTGCAATCCATGCTTCTGACTCCTGAAATTGGGTGGGAGATTTCTTCAGCATGGATAAATGTAAGAATTCTCTTGGTTAATCAATTGATCAAATCACAATATGCCATGTGTGCCAATGTAATTGGTAATTTGCTTAGGGAACTGATTTTCTCACTCCCCTTTTCTCCACTTACACTCCTTTTTGCTTTTTAATACTTTTTAATCAATTTTGTTCTTTCTCTTTCCTATTCTATCCTTACCCTACATTAATTTCTGTTTTACTTCACTTTTATATTATTTCTTTTTCTTTATACTTAATTTTTCAACTTACACTCTGTTTTCAGTATTATAGGAAGAAAAAAAAACTTAATTTCTTACTCGATTAAAGGAAAAAAAAATACTGAAAATGAAGTGCAAGTTGGAAAATTAAGTATAAAGAAAAAGAACTAATATAAAAGTGAAGTAAAATGAAATTAATGTAGGGTAAGGAAAGAGAAAGAACAAAATTGATTAAAAATTATTAAAAAGCAAAAGGGAGTGTAAGTGGGGAAATCATATCCCTTTGCTTAACCCTAAACCAAATCTTGGAACACAAGAAAATCACACACTACCTAAATTAGATACTAACAACTTTATCTAATGCATATATCAATCCAATCATGCATTTGAAAGAATCAGGGTCCGCATTTGAGATATTTACCTTGACTTCTGAGTTTCTTCTTCCGTCTATACAATATCAAGCCAATTATTAACGTTCCCAAAAGAAAAGGTGTAGAGCTGATGAGAAGAATTCCAGGTAGCTTTTTCTTGTTGAACTTGCTCTTTTTCTCAATTTGATCTGAAATATCATAATTGAAACAAAATTTCAATGCAATTCGGTAAGCAATTTCTCATGTTGCAGATGAAGCAGCAAGGCCAACTGAGGAAATAACTACCATTGTGGTTTTCATGTCAAGCCTTTGATTATGGACCTAGATCAATAATTTTAAACATGTTGCTTCTAACTGATGCCCCCATCAAACACACTTCCAAAAGCAAAACATAACAAGTAGACAAAACCTCATTCCCTTAACGTCTAAATATATTGTGATAATGTTATCCACTGTTGGATAGAAAAATAAAAAATAAGATGAAATAAAAGTTTAAGAGCTACCAAGTTCTGAAGCTGCCATCCGTATATAGAGGTCTTGACCACAACCGGGAGTGAATTCCCTTATGTCAATGAGCTTGCCAAACCATAGCAAGCAGCCAGTTCCTCCCTCCCTGATATCTAAATTTGCATATCCCGTACATGAGCAGTTGTTCAAACATAATCCCTTGCATTCCTTGAGGCTCATGCTTTTATCAAACCATGAGGAAGATGTGTCTGGCAATTTAACCCCAGTGTACTTTAGGAAGCCACCTCCAGAGCTGCAAGCCAATGGAATCTTTCGAACACACCCGTCAGACCAATATCCTGAATTCCAATCTTTTGGAGATTTTGGTACAAATCCCTTCAAGCACGCACATAAGGGAGAGACATTCATATTGCAACTAGCATATGCACCACACAAAGCATAATTTTCACACCGATCTGCTTGAAATGTAGAGGAAAGTTCCCAACTATGTGTTTGGTGCACCCATGTTAATCGCTGCGCAATCCCTGATGGATTCAATATATATCTTGAGAACGTGGACCTCTTTGAGAGCCTGAACTCATAATAGATCTCATCCTTGTTCAACACAAATTCATACTCCAATGTTGGGTTTGCTCGTGTTTGTGGAGGATATGGATATGCTGTAAAATGAAGGCCGTTCCATGAGCCTGCCGAAGCCACTATCTTAGCTCCTTTTACAACAACAGCTTGTGGGAAACCACGATGATCTATCCGTAACGAAAACTCTCCTGGAGCAGGATCGTCTGTGCTCCTCCAAGACGAGACGTACCTCTCTAAACCAGTAACTAACTCCCAACCAAGCTTCATTTCTGGTAGGAATGTGTCACAAAGATAATCAAAACTCTGCCACAAAAAGTTAACAGGGTTGGTTTCATTTCCATCTTTCACAACAAGATTTCCTGAATCCAGGAGTTGTGATACTGGATTCCCTGCAGTTCTTGATGTATTGGATGACCATACAATGCTGTTTGAGCTATTGAGAAGGACTAGAACTCCTTGCTTAGTGACATTCAAAACTCCAGAAGTATCGCCAAGTGGTGTTTCTCTGTTGGCTACCCGTACAACTGCCTCAGTATCAACACTGTACCATATTCCCAAGTATCGACCATTTGATTTACCAGGGCTAAAGAATCCCAGTTGAAAGATTCCACCTGCTGAAACTAGACTTTCACCGTCTCTAATATATCGATTTGGAGTAATTGTGTCTAGTGCTGTTGGAGTGGAGATTCTTAAGAAGGGAAATAACAAGTAGCACACAAAAATGCTTCTCAAGGCTTGCATTGTATACTCGTATCCAAAAAAATTAGCACAGGACTTCTCTAGAAGATGGAAGAACCAAAAACTAGAAGTAAAACATGTTCTTATACTGATAAAAACTTTATGCGTATAGTTGTGAGACTTTCCTTAATTGACCCGAATCCTTGGTTTGGAAAGTTGGTCACTGTGCAAGAAACTCATGGATATGGACCATGAGGACATACGATATATAAGGCCTTTTCACATGTCGAATGAAAAGACCTGGAAACTCACACATGACAAATACATGTCTCCCAACTTATGTTTCAGAAGTCGCATTTTTCGGTTAACATGTTGTATTTGACCTTTCCAACCGCAAAAAGAGTCAAAGACAGCCACCATGTGTGCATGTGGAAATATAACATTGGTTTTCCTGATCCTGTTTCACGTTTCTGTCACATTGGTTTTCTTGCTATGGTATAATTAAGGCAGAAATTAACATTTTTTGTCAACCAATTATGATGAAGATGTAGGTTTAGGCCACACTAAAAATATTATATAAAAAAAGACCACACTGAAATAAAATTAACAAAAAGTCATCGTCCGCATATTTACCTGTCCTGGGGCGAAGAAACCGAACTTTTCAAGTTTGTCCCTAGAAATTAGAAGAAGATGCAAAACGCCGTTGAAACATTAAGATCAAATGCTTTCTAAGCTACCCGCCAACGTCCCATCTCACCTGAGCCTTCGGTTCTTGAAAATTTACTGCAATTCCGGCGATTTACAACGTGCCCGTCACTTGTTCGACCAAATTCCCCATCCAGACCTCCGTGCATGGACGGTGCTAATTTCAGGCCACACCCGACATGGGTTTCCAAAGGAATCTATAAAGCTTTACACTTCATTGAGAGGTCGGCACATTGTTCCAGATAACCTTCTTCTTCTCTCGGTTGCTAAGGCGTGCGCGTCTTTAGGTGATCTCAGAAATGCTAAAGAACTTCATGATGAAGCAATTCGATTTGGGTTTCATTCAGATATCGCTTTGGGTAATGCCATGGTTGATATGTTTGGAAAATGTAAATACGTTGATGGGGCAAGGCAGGTATTTGATGACATGACGGCCAAAGATGTGGTTTCATGGACGTCTTTGTGTTCTTGTTACGTAAACTGTGGGCTGCCTAGAGAAGGTTTGGGGGCGTTTCGGGAGATGGGTTTGAATGGAGTGAGACCCAATGCGGTGACTGTGTCTTCAATCCTGCCTGCTTGCTCAGAATTGAAAGATTTGAATTTGGGCAGAGAGATTCATGGGTTTGTGGTCAAACATGCAATGGAAGAGAACGTATTTGTTAGCAGCGCACTTGTCAACATCTATGCTAGTTGCCTGAGCATTAAACAAGCTCAAATGGTGTTTGATATGATGCCTCAACGAGATGTTGTGTCCTGGAATGTACTTCTAACAGCGTATTTCTCGAATAGAGATTGCGAAAAAGGTATAGCTCTGTTTTGTAGGATGAGAAGGGAAGGCGTTAAATTGGATGGTGCTTCTTGGAATGCTGTTATTGGTGGGTGCCTCAATAATGGGCAAACTGAACAGGCACTGAAAATGCTTGGACAAATGCAAGAATCAGGATGTAAGCCCAATCAGATAACAATTACTAGCTTGTTACCAGCTTGCAAAGATTTGGAGAGCTTGAGAGCAGGCAAAGAGGTTCATAGTTACATCTTTAGAAATTGTTTGATGGAGGACTTGGCAACCACAACAGCTCTAGTTTTCATGTATGCAAAATGTGGTGAGTTGGAACTTTCGAGGAGGGTCTTTGATATGATGCCAAGAAGGGATACAGTTGCTTGGAATACAATGATCATTGCAAACTCGATGCATGGGAATGGAGAAGAAGCCGTGCTGCTGTTCAGAAAAATGTTAGACTCTGGGGTGAAGCCAAATTCTGTTACTTTTACTGGTGTTTTGTGTGGTTGTAGCCATTCGCGGCTGGTTGACGAAGGCATCATGGTTTTTGATTCAATGAGGAGGGATCACTCAGTAGAACCCGATGCAGATCATTATTCCTGCATGGTTGATGTACTTAGCCGTGCCGGTCACCTAGAAGAGGCATATCAGTTCATACAGAGAATGCCAATGGAACCTACACCTGGTGCTTGGGGAGCATTGCTTGGTGCCTGTAGAGTGCATAAAAATGTGGACTTAGCGAAAATTGCAGCAAACAGGCTGTTTGAGATTGAACCCGATAACCCTGGTAACTATGTATTATTGTCCAACATTTTAGTTACTGCCAAAAAATGGGAAGAAGCTTCAGAAACTAGGAAGTTGATGAGAGACAGAGGAGTGACAAAAACACCAGGTTGTTCTTGGGTTCAGCTGAGAAATAGAGTCTACTCTTTTGTTGCTGGTGACAGGAGCAATGAACGTAGCGAGGAGATATACAAGTTTTTGGTTGAGATGGGTGAGAAGATGAGATTGGCAGGGTATGTGCCCAACACGGATTTTGTTCTGCAAGATGTGGATCAAGAGGAGAAAGTGGGGATCCTTTGCAACCACAGTGAGAAGCTTGCTGTTGCTTTTGGGATACTCAATTTGAATGGTGAATCGACAATTCGGGTATTTAAGAACTTGAGGATATGTGGGGACTGCCATAATGCCATCAAGTTTATGGCCAAGATTGTTGGTGTGCAGATTATAGTCCGAGATTCGTTGAGGTTTCACCATTTCAAAGATGGAGATTGTTCTTGCAGAGAATTTTGGTGATTGTCAGTATCCAGGTTACTGTGTTGAATGATGTAAATCAATTGGAGGGCGTGGATGGATGTGTGGACTGACTTATAAGTAAGACTGAAAATTTTCAGCACCACTAGAAGCCAACATAAGGTTAGTGAATTAAGATTAATCATTACCTGTGTTGGCTAGTCAAGATTATTCAAAACTTGATACGGATCTGCAAATGACATGTTCTTCTAACACAAATGTAATGATGTCGGATTACTGTATGCACGAATCATTCAATTCCGACAAGATAATCATGCTTGTGTTGGTAGAAGAAAATTATCCTTGTTTTTGGGAATGTCTCCATTTCTTGATATAATCCATTTCGTGGTATAATCCACTTTGTGGGAAGAGGTATCAAGTTCGAAACTCACGTTATTGTTTATTAACAAAACAAGTGAGTCAACTCAAACACAATACGATAAACACGACATGACTTAATTGTCACACTCATCCTATAGAAGAATATCATCCCAAACAATCAAAAAGGAACTTTTTTTTCTTCTATTGAAAATCAGAAACAAACTTGAATTTGACCAATTTCATGGTGGAACTCAAAAAAAAAAAAGACCCCTGTTTGCACCAAAAAAAAAACATAAGAGCCCGTTGGTCCGATAAAATTTGAATCACGCAAGCCAAGCCCATCCAAAAACAAGAGAGCGTATCTCAGAAGCTGGTCCAAAGCGTGTGGTGTGGATATAAGTTACTTGTATTGGATAACAAAATATGGTAGTGGACGGGACTGGACAGTGGACTGGTGGTGACAGTGTTAAAATGGAGAGAGAAGCCTAGCAAACAGTGTAAACTTTTCTAGATTTTGTTTTTTCCGTTTGGTCTGATTTTACCAATTACCATATTAGAAAAGGAAAAAGAGGAACTCTTTCTTTAGGGGTGAGAAAGCAAATGGACCAACCAATTATTCTTGAAAAAACCGAACAGGTGATATCCAGTGTATGTTGATTCTTTTCTGTCCCTCTTTTCCTTATCTATCAGTTTCTTGATTACTTATTGTTAAGAATATATCTCTGTTTATCCATTTGGTTATGTTTGTGTGATGAAAATTTAGCCAACCCAGATATTTGATTGTTGTTCTCTGTGCAAAGAGAAGTGAATAGAGGCTTGTATTAAGAATTTCATATTTTGTGGAGAGTATATTTGATTAGGCTTCAGTAGCAAAAAAACTATTTAGCTGTCCATGGCAGTTCTTGTAAATTCAGTGTCTCCTATTGCACACCCATCACCAGAAAGTACTAGAAACAGTTGTAGGTTCTTTTCCCACATCAGGAATCTCCAACCACTTACGCTCAGCAAGGGATTTTCTAGAGTTTTGGCAACTACCCAGATCACCATTTCTCCAAAGGACACTGTTTTCACTTTACCCAACTGGAGGGCTGCCAAGAATAACAGAAGAAGTAGGGAAGTCAGACTAATTGATGCCTTTCTGCACTTAGAGTCTATGGTAGGGAAGGGCCAAAAGCCTGATGTGGCTCAGGCAACTCAGCTCTTATATGACCTTTGCAAGGCAAACAAGATGAGAAAAGCTGTCAGGGTGATTGAAATGATGGTTTCTGCAGGCATTATACCCGATGCAGCTTCTTATACTTTCTTGGTGAATTATTTGTGTAAAAGAGGTAATATTGGGTATGCAATGCAGTTGGTTGAAAAAATGGAGGAGTATGGCTATCCAACCAATACTATTACCTATAATTCGCTTGTTAGAGGGCTTTGTGTGCGTGGAAACTTGAACCAAAGCTTGCAGCTTTTGGATAGACTGATACAGAAGGGGCTGGTCCCAAATGTTTATACCTACTCCTTCTTGCTTGAAGCTGCTTATAAGGAAAGAGGGGTCAATGAAGCCATGAAGCTCCTGCAAGAGATAATTGCTAAAGGTGGAAAGCCTAATTTGGTCAGCTACAATGTTTTGTTAACTGGGTTGTGCAAGGAAGGTAGGACTGACGAGGCTTTGCGGTTCTTCAGGAATTTGCCTTCGATGGGGTTTGATCCGAATGTTGTGAGTTATAACATTGTACTGAGGAGCTTGTGTTATGAGGGTAGGTGGGAAGAGGCAAATGAGCTTCTGTCTGAGATGGAAGGTGAGGATCGATCTCCTTCCATAGTTACATATAATATCTTAATTGGTTCACTTGCACTTCATGGTAGAACTGAACATGCTCTTGAAGTTTTGGATGAAATGGTGAGAGGTCAGTTCAAGCCTTCTGCTGCCAGCTACAATCCCATAATTGCTCATCTCTGCAAAGAGAGGAAG